GCTGACGCCAATCGCTGTCAAAACTGAGCATAAGCTCAAAATTCAAGCAAAAATAAGGTCACGGAAGTCTAAAGCTCAAAATAAACTCGGGAATCACTACTTGGACTTCCCAGCCAGGCCTCGTTTTCTAAAATGCAACAAAAGCACCTGGGAGGCGGCCGGGGCCAAGGGCCAGGGCCCCGGCTGGTGGCCTTGAAATTGCAAAAAGCCCTGCATTCCTGATGCCTTACGAGGCTCTGCCGTTCCGATGGGTTCAAAAAGAGCTCTTGCTCGATCCACTCTAGCCGAAAAATCGAGCGTTGAAAGGGGTTGCAACGCGGAAAAAGCAAAAAATGAAGGGCAAAAACCGGGAAAAGCAATATGCTTTGAAGTGGGGGGCGGGCCAGAATTTGCGTAGGTCTTGTTTGTTTTTAGCTGCTCTTTGGAAGGAGTGGGTTTCTCTCTCTTTCTCTCTCTCTCTCTCTCTCTCTCTCTCTCTCTCTCTTTCTGGCCCTATCTAGCTATCCATAATTGGGCACATCCATCATCAACCCGGGCCGCTCGCAAAACCGGAACCACCCCATAAAACAAGCTAAAAAATAGGGAACATGAGGTCATACGAGAATAGAGTATCGGCCCGAGGACCGGATTTATAGGGCCTAATCGGTTATACCCCAGGCTAGTTTGGAAATAGCCTGGCTGAATAGCATAGCTAAAGGTAAAGAGAGTGAGAGAGAGAGCGAGAGAGAGAGAGAGAGGACGAGGGAGAGAGAAGGAGATAGAGAGAGAGAGAGTAAGAGAGAGAGAGAGAGAGAGAGAGCGAGTAATCGAAATAAACTTTTCTCAACCTTCAGTTTCTTAAAAAGCTAACACTTCCAGGGGGTATATTTTGGCCCTAGGCTGGCGGGGCCAGGTGGGGAAAGCTATCTATAATTCATTCAAGCCTGAGTCACGCCAACTACGTTATTGGGCGAGGAATTGGCTTCGTTTCTGAAAATACGATTGCTAGGCTCCCTCTCTTTCCCTCTCTCGCTCTCTCGCTCTCTCTCTCTCTCTCTCTCTCTCTTTCTCTCTCTCTCTCGTTCTCTCTCTTTCGCAGACAGATGACACTTCCGGTCAGCTCGTTAAAGCCGACTTCACAAGTGCTCCGGAATTGTCGTAGAGGGCTTGAAACCAAGAAAAACCGGACAAAAACCCAAGCCGAAAGCCTTCGTTCCTGTTAAAGCCAAGAATCGGTCCCTCCCAGGGCTGGTCGATGTTCCGAAGGGCGAAAAAAGCGGGGCTCACACACCACCCTCACGACGAGATAGATCCGAAGAGGTCCTTGGGGACCACGGGCCCACATAGGCCCCGCTGCCTGGCTTCAGGGCAAAATGGCGTCTCGGCTTTTTGTCTTCAGAATGGCCGCCAGAAATCGGGAATGACGGGCCGCCGGTGTTCTACGGGTTTAAGGGACTGAAACGATTGAAAAACAGGCCGAAATACTGGGAAGAATGAATTGTTATGGCGGTGAGAAGGAACTTGGCTTTTGGAAGGGAAACGATAGAGAAAGCGAGAGAGAGGGAGAGAGGGAGAGAAAGAGAAAGAGTGAGAGAGACAGATAGAAAGAGAGAGATCGAGAGATAGTGAGAGCAAGGGAGTGTGGTGAAGAGAGAGTGGGAAAGAGAGAAAGAGAGCGTGCTATAGAGAAAGAGCGAGTGAGAGGGGGAGAGATGGAGCATGAGATGAAAAAAGGACGTGAAAAAGGCGATAAACGGATTCGATCCAAGTACCAAAGACATCAGAGCTTCAGGAGTTTTTGCATTATCGGGGGGGGGGGGTATTAAGTGGGAAACCTGATTCCTTCTATTCCAAGTTTGGTGAAAATCGGCAATTTTTGGTTGAAAAAATGGCATTTTTTTGAAAAATTGTGTAAACTTCTAGGTGTAAAGCTAGGAATTGTAAAAACAGTTTTGGAACATTTGGTTTTTTTATATTAGACAAAATGGATTCCAAAGAAAAGCGTAGCCCCCCCATAATGCACAAGAACTTAAAACTGAAAAATATTTTTACAAGTTCAAAAACAAATCCTAGAGGTCAAAAAGGGCATCGGAATGCTGAGCGGGTGTGTGAGTGGCTTATTGTTGGTGTGGCGTGAAAAGGGGATTGAGTCCGGGGTACTACCTCCTGTTTTTGTGAATACCCCCCAGATAGGTCCCCCGGGGAATGGGCTCTCCCTTCTTGGGCCCCGGGAAACTCTTGGACCCCCGGTTGGAAGAAAGCCCGAAAAGCTGAAAGCTGAAAAGCCGAAAAAACGGCGTCTCGATCCCCATGGGGGCTCACGACTTCTACCAACCCTGCCAATGACGCACATCACTTGTCAGCTACGGGGTGCGGCGTTTTTTTTGTTTGGTCATTAAAGGGGCTGGGAAGGGTGGGGAATGAAGCGGCGGTTGTAGATTCTTGGCACAGAGCCTAGTTATCGTAAAATTGCTTTCAGAGCGTACGTTAAAAAAAATTAAATAAAAATTAATTAAAATTAAATTAAAAAAATTAATTAAATCTATAAGATGACAGAAAGCGGCTTGAAGTCTTTTCTTGGATTCGCTGTCTCCCTCGTTTTTCCATAGCGTAACCGGTTAGCTTTTTGCCAATTTTGGATGAGACTGGTTCTACAAAAAGCCGTCTTGCTCTCTTTAAGGGTACTGGGAAGGCTTGGCTTTTCGCTGTTCGACTTTGACTTGCCGCACTTTTCGCTGACGTTTCGCTGCTATGAATTTCCACAGGTATGCCCGGTCTTTCAACGCAGGGCCTTTAGTGTCCCTAACTGGAAGGATGGACTTACGCGTGGCGCTAGCGGCAAAATCTATTGGTAATTCCAAGCTAACATAACCTTCGTCAACCTTCTTTTTCTCACGCTCTGTAAAGGCACTGGCAAGAATGGGCCTTAAGCCAATTTTTTTTTGGTGAGTTTTTGGACAAGAATTAATATAAGGCCGTACGGAAAGCCGGAAATGCTCATTTGCATCTTTAAAGCGCTGCACCCAGAAAAAACTTTCAGGCGTGGATTCGTAAGTTTTTTCGATACGCAACGCGCGGCACTTGGCCGAATAAAATGATCGTAATACCTTACGCAATGGAAATGCGAGACGTCGCGCGTCGCGTGTCGTGGCATGATGTACCTGAACGTAGAATCTCGAAAACTTACGCGACAAATTTATTAAAGCAAAAATTACGCCGTTAAATTCCAATATATAAAGTCTTTTGGTTGGAATTAGATGGACGATGGCCAAGAACACATTTTCAAAAAGTTCAAAAATGGCAGGCTAGACGTGCTTTCCTGCGCCTTTAATGCAGAAAGTTGTAGAGCTAATTTAAAAGAAAACCGGTTTGTTACCATTGGGAATTTCAGAACCCGAAATAAAATACGATTTCCGATAATATTAAAAACGGACATCGGAGCGATAGTATAGAACTACTCTCAAAAATCCGCCTGACTTCAGAGACCCCGCAAAAAACTGCGTGGGTGCCAGAGGGGGAGGACAAGCCGCGCCACACGGCTCGGCCCATAAATCAAATTTTGATGAGTGCCCAAATCGGGCGGGATAGGGCCCAGGGGCCCAATCCCAGCTAGCGGGCCCACGGCTAGTCCAGTCTAGATTTGGTCCTAAGATTTTTGTGTGAGACTGAGTTTTAACGGGCCCCACAAGACCCGGGGAACCGTAGTTTGGCCCTGGGGGACTGGCTTGAAAAAAGTGTGAAAGAAGAGAGGAAACATTTCTAAAGAAAAAAGAAAAACTTCCCGGTCCCATGACTTCCTCAAGACTTAGGGAACAAACAGGAAACACTTTTGCGCCAATTTTGAGCCACCGCTTGGCAATTTTGAAAGCATTTTTAGGGGTTGAAGGTTCAGGTATTTGCTTGGTTTAAAATTCGGGTTTCCGAGCAAAGTTAAAGGGAAATGGAAGCGAGGTCGTTAATACCGGTAATACAGAGTGTCCCAAAAAATACCCCGGTCTAGCTGCCCGCAGTCGCGTTCAATTTTTTACGATATAGGTATCTTTCGAAAACTCTCTTCGAGCGAGGAGATCGTCTCCAATTTTCGAAATTCCCTAATTTTTCTGACATTTCATACAATTTTTGGGGAAACGATCGAATTTTTTGCTTTTCCCAAGTAAAGAGTTTTTGGCAAAAATCCCTTTTTTGAAAGTTTACATAATAAAACATGGCGATATGACGGCGTAACGCTAGAAAGGGGTATTTTTTGGACGTCCGGTATATGCAACTTCATCAGCTACATTCCGCTCAAAATAAAGTACGAAAAAAATTTGCCGAGTCAGTTACGACAGTTAAAGGGGCTCCGAAATCTGGTCCACGGCGCCCTGCTGTGATTCCTGGCAAATTGCCAGATGCGGCCGCAACGCGACCGCGCCGCATGATCTTTTGCCTCCGTTTGGAAGCGAAACCGCTTGAATTTAAAAATACTGATACTATTTTTGGAATCCTCAACGAATTTTCATCATTCCGGACTTTTAAATTATGAAAATTGACGAGAGAATCACCGAGATCGAGAGATTGGGCACCTTTCAAGCCATTACGACATGTAATCGCCGCGCACTCAAAATGTCGTTTTTGCCCCAAAAAGAATTCCGTTTTTCTCAAACATTTTACTTTTTTTTCGCGATCAAATAACTTTTTGGCACTTCTCGGCAGTGACCCTTTCGTTTTTGTATCTAGGCCTAGCGTAGCTGTGGACATCCCGTCTGTCGAAGGAGTTGAGTTTGCATTTTCTTTCCTGTTTGAGAGCCTTTTTGTTTTCTTTCCTAGCGTCTTTTTGCAAAATTCCAACCCTTTATTTCCCTATGGCTAATTTCGAACACTTCCTCATCCCAATTTCATTACAGGGGACAAAGGCCGAGTCATCAAGGGGTGAGGGATGGGTGGATGACCGCGTTTGCGCAGCTTTAAGCCCATATAAAGCGATATATAAACCTCAGAAATCGACGGCCACAATAACCCCGACACAAAAATAGAGGCTGGCGATGACTGTCGCTTATTTCGCAATTATCTTTATTGGTTGCACCCAATTTATGGCAATTGACGCTCAGAATTATACTTGCAGCAATGGGCAGGTGACGCAAATTGGTGAGTCTTGTAAAAATTGAAAGAGAGAGAGAGAGAGAGAGAGAGAGAGAGAGAGAGAGGGAGCGTGAGAGAGATTACGAGACGTTCAGCCCGATACATTTAATATGTAATTTTAGTATGCAAACAGCGAGGCCAGAAAACCTTATGCCCAGCTGCCTACTACGGTATTTGCGAATCGCTAAACGGGACGAATATTTGCTGTAAGTTGTCCGCTTCTACGTTATTTTCCATAGTTATGTGTTAAATTATACATCTTGAGAGTTTAATAATATAGGATATTTAACCCTATATTTAATAACTATTTTTTCAGGTCCCGTGGCGAACCGGCGGTTTGAGAAAATTCGCAAAAATGACAAAAATACGACGGCAGAAGCGCTGGAACAATCCAAGGACCTTACCGTAACCCTGATGCCCTCAAAAAATCTGACGGCACCGATTAAAGGTAGGCATTCCATTTTTTTTCCGGATATAGTAATTTTTTTTTCTTTGTTTTTTTTCCAATTTTATCTATTGATTTTCTTATATTTTTAGAATCCATACAAAACGTCACTTTTACTCCAACGAGTACAACGTCTTCAAGGAACTCCACCCAAAGTAAGGGCTACGGTAGAAATCAATCGAATTTGTTTAAGCTGTGGCCGTTAAGCCGCCCAAGGTAAACTTCACGCTGTCGCAGCTCAACTTCAGCAAGCTGGCGCCGAACAGTCTGGAAGAGATTCTTTTGACCACGGTAGGAAGGGCAGCTCGTAAGGGACTAATTATCGATTCGATTTTAGGACCTGTTGTTGCCAAAGCTGAAGTCAGTAGGGCCCGAGGATTTGGTGGTGTCGTTGTCAAAGAGGTTAATTCGAGGTGGGTACGACTATTGACGCGTTGCGGACGCGTTGCGTGTAGCTAAATAAGAAAACATTTAAATTAAACATGATCCTTTCAATTAAAAAAAGAAAATCATTTTCAGGCACCTGCTTCGATCGCTACGTCTACTGCGCCGAGTTCGAGAGCCTTTGCGCCCATTCGACTTTTGAGGTGGGAAATTTGAACGGGAGCATACTTGCTAAGGAAGAGTACTGTCAGCGCATGACTTAATTAGATCCCAAAAGTCGAGAAAATCGAGTTTTTAGATGGTGATGGCCCGAAAATGCGCGCTAACGTGTGATCGTTGCAATGAGATGCCACCGGAAAAGACCAGCAACGCGACGAGTAATTTTTGGGATATAACTTTTCTTAAAAAGCGTTTCAGTTTCATTATCTTTTATTTTGGTTTAAGCTTCTAGTTTAAAAAAATCCTTGTTAAAACTGACCAGCAGTTTTTTTAGAATGTGCCGACTTCTCATCAGAATGCCCGGACAATGCGCATCTCTGCGAATCGCCGGTACATAGGTGTGTGTTTTAAAAGTTTACCTGATGCCCGGTTCATAGCTTGCCGGTCCCTTGAAAAAGCCAAACACCTAATTTTTCAGACTAACAATGCATACGATGTGCCCACGGACCTGCAAAGTCTGCACCCCATTTTGCATGGATCGTCATGATAAGTAGGCAAATTTTTTAGAATTATTGGCGCCTTCTGCATCACGACAACAATCGTCTTTAGTTGCGCAGCGTACGGTGAGGAGGGCTTCTGCTCGGATCCGATGTATCGACAGGCCGAAAAGGAGTATCTATGTGGAGATACATGCAAATTGTGTGGGACGGCCAAGGCAGCAAGCGCCGAGTCGAAGCTGCCTGAGCTGAAGCATGTTCTTCGCCATCATCGCAGCTAAATCTACTTAAGTTACAAAGTTTTGGATTGGTGTATCGTTATTTGTACATAAAGGAACATCATCGTATTCAAATTTGCCTCAAAACTGCGAATTTTGATTGACAAAAACAAGCAATTATGTGTTATCGCGACAGAGCAAAAGAGAGAGAGAGAGAGAGAGAGAGAGAGAGAGAGAGAGAGAAAGAGAAAGCTGGAGAGAGAGAGGGACAGAGACCGAAAAACCTATTGTTGCGATAATGACATCATGTTATCACCCTCAAAACTGCACCCACTTTTGCGTCATCATCCACAACCACGTACTCTGTCACAGCCGACCGTCACCGGCCTCCTCCCTCCGACTCGTCATTTCCGCGGGTTAACGCCAAGCAGAGGAGCGTCAAAAGGAGCAAGGCGGAGTTAGTTCTCCATCTCTCTCTCTCTCTCTCTCTCTCTCTCTCTCTCTCTCTTCCACAGCTTCCCCATCAAGTTGCAGAGGTGCCAGGTCAGCTGTTGTTAGGGCCCAGGCGCCCAGGCTGGGGGCGCCTTAAAGGATTTCCCCCCGGGACCCCTCCCCCAACGAACATAAAAAACGAAAAACCCCCACCACTTATCCGCTCCCCGGGGCAGCTGGGTGGACTATTGTCCCGTACTCAACTCGATTCGAGGGATCTTGAGCTTTAGATGTATTTTTAAAGCTACTCTCTCCCTCTCTCTCGCTTTGAAAATTACTTTAGTGTTGTTTTAATAAATTTACGCTCAGTTTCTGGTCTTATTTTGGTCAAAGTAGCCAGCCTATCGAGCCCTAGTTTCAAGCGGTATATGCAAATTATCCAGCCACCCCGAGGTGATTTTCTTTAGAGTACAAACTCAGTGCTTTTGGACACATTTCTAGCGACTCCAATTTTCTAAAGGCACCGGCATGCGAGGACTATGGATTTTTTCGCTGCGAATTCTCTAAGAATACGCAAGGCATACGTCTGTGTACACGTGCGTACACCAGGTGACCGCTTTGCAGCTTTCGTAATCAGTTACACTAGTGAAATCAACTCTCTCTCTCTCTCTCTTTCAAGCTCTCTCTCTCTCTCTATCTCTCTTGCTCTCTCTCTATTTCTCTCTCGCCCTCTCTCTCTCTCTCTCTCTCTCTCTCTCTAGCTCGTTTCAAACTCTTTTTGAACCCCTCGATCCCCGATTCTATGACCCGCCTTATATGCGATTTGTATTCGATTTTCGGGGTTGAAAACGGCCCATTCAATGGCCCCAGATTCCCATCAGGCGCCTCCCGCCCTTCCATTTCAAGCATCGATTCAGCAGCCCATATCCGTTTTTGCGTTTCCGGTTTTTTTTTATTGCGGGATATTTGGCGTATTTAATTTGTTATATTGGATTCATACAGTGTTCCGCAAAAAAAACAGCGTTTCCGGGTTTTAAAGGGACTCGGAAGGCAGGAACCTAGCTGGCACCGTCCCTTGAACTGCCTATCAATTTTCTAGCGTTTTTTACGTGTAGATTAGGCAATAATGGAAACGGGTTTAAAAGCCCTTGTCTCTTCTTTTTTGTCTTCTCTATGTAAATTAAGTTTTCAAGAGCAAACCGGATGTTTTTTCTGGTGTCAACAACAACGGAGCGTCTGGTCTAGGTTGTTTTTCTGAATTATCTCTGTCTCTCTCTCTCTCTCTCTCTCTCTCCCTGCCCTCTAACCGAATTCTACACGCCATTCCGTTCTGCGCCTCTGCACACCCCAAAAGAAGTCCAGAGTTCCTCGTCGCGGCGGGAAAATCCCCCGCCTCAACGGGGGGAACAACTCGTTTATGGAAATCACCCAGGGCCACACGCGGGGCGTCTGAACCCCTGGAATGCCGACGAAATGCTTAGCAGGAGGAAGGCTACGACATAGTACATTAGACACCAGATCAAATACTTTCTTTTTTTTTCGAAATATTGGTACGATAGTGTACTACCGTATCCTACTGGTTGTAGTCTGCACTCAGAAAAGACCGTTCTTTAGCATAGACACTAAGGGAGATTTGTCTCTCTTCGAATTTTGGGAACAACCGACTGAAATTTCACCCCACTCGGTCCTAACAGGACATTCCATTGGCTCTTGCTCATCGCTTAACAAGTAAAAAAAAAGACAAAATTGCAACCTTACGGTAGCTCAAAGAAAGCTTAAATTTTCGAACTCTTTCTATCGCTATCATTTTTATTTTCTCTCTCTCTTTCTCTCCCTCTGTATCTTGCTCTCTCTCTCTCTTTCTCTCTCTCTCGCTCTCTCTCTCTCTCTCTTTATCTCTAAAACCTCCGACGATCGGTTTGAGCTCGAACCCACGTATTAGAGTATGAGACAGGGTGGCAGATACGCAGAGGAGAGAGAGCGAGAGGGATAGAGAGAGAGAGAGAGAGAGAGAGAGAGAGAGAGGGAGGGAGAGTGTGTGTGTGGCAAATATTTATGAAGTGAAAGGCCTTGAAAGCTGAAAAGCCCTGAGTCGTGGTTTGCCTGTCATTTAAAGCCATAAATCCAAAACCTGACGAGCACAAGTTCAAGCCGTTCAGCCGGGAGTCAGCTCAGGCTTTTGACTCTCGCGTCACGGAGATTCGGCCGCACACCTTACGCGGCAGAATACAATTTTTCCGCATTTCAAAACACACCTTTCACCTCCAATTTCTGATCAACACAAACTTTGGCCGGGCGCCAGACCATTTTCCGGTTTGCCCCACCAAATCTGCGTGATTTTCCGCGCGCATCTTGGCACAAAATACGGGCGGCGCGCGCTAATGGCTGGATCGGATTAGTGGGGATGTCAGGTTGAGGGAAAGGGGGCGTCTTTTAGCCAGGCAGCCTGCAGGTGACGGGAGTTTGGCGTGGCTGTCTGTTGTGGCTGTCGAAAGCATATGTTTTAATTTTTATGTAGTCGTAATTTGTAATCGAAATTTCGATATTATATAAACTTTCTTAAACCACATAAAATCAATTTTATAGAAGTTGATTCCTAAAATAGCCTGTGTGAGTCTAGAAAAATCAGATTTTCTGCGATTTTTGCCTAATTCGTTATATAAATTTGCCTGAAAAGCTCAAACTTAAGGATAGATCATCCGTGGTTTATTTATTACTGAACCAGCGCCCAAAACCCGCTTCGCGGGCCTTGGACGCTGGAATGCGGCCTTTGCATGAAAAGTTTGACTTTCTGATAGCTCGGGTCCTGCGGACCCTACCACACGCGCGAGTGCAACTGGCCAGAATGAGGAAGTTTGTATTTATTCGCATTATGCAAATTAGACTTCAGGTACCCCCAAAAATCAATAAAACCAGCTTTAACTTTGTAAACTTGTATTTTATCGAAATTCTGAAAACACCATCGGAAACAGAAGGGTCGATTCCCTCGGGTGACCGAGAATTAGGGCATTTTATGCACGGGAAGGCCCTCAAATCGGGCCTCGAAAGTGACATCCACACACACACACACACATACCCTCCAAAATTATATAAGGTAGGATATACCCCTTAAGAAAGATTCTAAATAAAAAATTTATAGTTTAGAATTTTTTCTGCCAAAATACAATTCTTATTCATAATCCGTAGTCGAAATTTTCCAAGCATTACTGTAGCAAGAAAAATAAAAAGAGCTTTGAAAATGCAATAATTTTTCGTGAGAATGATCTCGAGAAGAAACATACGGGAAAACTCGAAAATGGTCATTTTGAGTGGTTTCTACAGATTTGAGTTAATTCGAGTTGAGATCCATGACTTTACCATCCCTTTAAAACGCCGTAACCGCACGTAGTAGCAACGTTGAAGGCTTCAATGATCTAGAATCCACCAAAAAACGTGAAGGTGCGAAAAGGAGGATGGCTCGAATTCCGGGACGCGTTGATCTCTGTTTCATCCTTCTCTCTCTCGCTCTCTCTCTCTCTCTCTCTCTCTTTTTCTCTCTCTCTCGCTCTCTCCGCAAAAGGTGTCACTTTTAGTGTCCAGGCACGCGGCTAAAGGGCCCGTAAAGAGGATGGCCTCGGAGTATTTCACAGCTTCCCTGGCCACATGGCCATATGTGTTTTGTGGGGGTCGTCTCGGGACCTCCCCCATTTCGGCCCATTCCCTCCTGTGAAATTCGATCCAGTCCTGTAGGGCCTTGAGATCCACCTTCTATCTCTCTCTCTATCTCTCTCTCGCTCTCTCTCTTTCCCTCTCTCTCTCTCCGCCCTCATGGCATGGATGGTGCTCGAAAATAAGACGTGAATTTTTTTCGCTGATTCTTCTTCCTGCTTGGATTTTTGGTTTAGCAGCTTTTTGGCAAAGTTCCAAGGTCTCGATTTTGGCCTCCATGATCTTTTAAATGGAGCAAGATCACGAAAATATCCGCGTTTTCGGAATTTTTTTTTGTGGCGAGCGAGAGAGAGAAAGGGAGAGAGAGTAAACACGAGTGACAGCCAGAGAGAGGGAGAGAGAGAGGGGAGAGAGAGAAAGAAAGAGAGGGAGAGAGAGAGAGAGAGAGAGAGAGAGAGAGAGAGAGAGAGAGAGGGGGAGAGGGAGAGAAAGAGTACGAGAGTGAGAAAGAGAGAAAGAGAGAGGGAGAGAGAGAGTGAGAAAGAGAGAGCGAGCTTGGGATCTTCTTTTTAAAGGGGGCTGAACAGCCAGTTTTTTTGAATAGAGCACCAACTCGACAATCACTTTCCCAGAACAGCCCTTTTTTCCCCTCCCATCGCCAGCTGGGCCCCCAAATTGCCAACATCCCACCCCACAATTTGCTTAGCTGCCAAATGAGGCGCGGCCGAATCCCCCAAAACGTAGACAGTCACCGGATTGAGTTTTGATTCCCGTAATTACCCCAATTTGCACGTAAAATTTCATCAATTTTTAATAAATTTAAATTTTGATTTTCAACCAGCTCCTTCAATAGCATAATTCCGTACTCCGATCCAATTTCACCCGCCTCGTCCCACCCTCAATTTCCCAGCGTTTTCCCCATTTTCCACTTTCTTTTTTGAAGTTTCCCCACAACCCGAGAAACCAGCCCGTTACCAATT